CGCATCATGTCCAGTGCATTGGGATAAAATAAGCCAATAAACAAATGTCTTTGTGTTTCTTATCTTCAACTAAAACAGTTAACATTGTTTTCATTGCAGTTTCTGTAATAAAATAGTGTTTTTATGGAGTAAAGTATCATCAAAGCCATTGATATTCAAGAAAAATTGAAATGTTTTTAAACATTATGCTAAACATTTAGGTTCAAGATTAACATGAAGAATCCAAATGATGTGAACTAATGTCTTCATGATGGCAAGGTTTTAAAAAATGCTTAAGACTTTACATACACTGAAAGCAATGCTTATAGTGCTAAGGACAATTCCTTTCACTGAGTTATGGTTAACAACCTAGCCTGGTAAGCCATTAATATTGTAATAAGTTTGATTCTCTCTTTTGGCTCTGGGTATTACTGGTCTAAGATTATTATTTATCAAAACAATGCAAAGGTCTATTTTGATAGAATAGATTCTATCAAAAGTCTGAGCAGTAGAATCTGAGAATAATGGCAATTAGCCAAGGAAACATTCACATTCATTGACTGAGCAGCCAGTTGTACTTTCATTTAAATTTATAAAATCTTTTCCTTAAAACAATATTTTAGAAAAATAACTGTTATTGCCCTTCTCACTATTGACAGAAATTTCCTTCCTAACCTTTTATTTGGAGTAGTGTAGAACACCATCATCTTGATTATGCTATTATTTTCTCTTTGAGTTATATGTGCTATCCATTTTAGTTGTTTCTGTTGTTGGTAATCAAGTGATCAATTTTCTGTGATTTAGTACAGTTCTTTGTGATTCTGTAGTGCAAGGTTTGAAAATGGATAGTCTTTGGATTCATTTAGTCAAAGCCATTTTTAACCATTGATAGTACAGTGAAATCAGTACTTTTGCGCAGCTCAGAATGTTAGCAAACAGGATTGAATTCCATAATAATTTTCTAAGGACAATCTGTGACCAAAGATAGAAGTAAATAAGGGAAAAAAATATCAACAAGAAATTGCTCTTAAAAGAGCAACTTTAAAAGCTTATCACCTGAGTCTTATATAAAATGGTTTGGATACATTCCAAGAAAGACAACCAGTGGTATACCAAAAGTTGTTTTCAGATAGACAGAATCACAGAAAGACCAATAACTAAATGATGCTGAACTATAATGGTTGCATATTGAATAAATGATCTCCTCAGGAGAAAAGTGTCAGAGAGAGTTAAAAAAAAAGAAGTCTTACTCTCAAAACTTTGTTTTTATCACTCCCTCCTCCATGGTAATAACATTAGACTCAGCTTTGGAATATACACAGCTTCACCATGTTAGGATTTGCTGATATGGTTTTAAGTAGCAAAAAAGTTTTTATGGGGTGAAGTTGGTATACCCTTGCACAACCAATTTTGAATTCAGAATTGTGTTTCTTAAAGATTGGTTACCAACCAAAGCTAGGAGCTCATTTTAGCTTTACATGAGAAGAGATCGTTTCATAGCTTTCTAAAGGCACTTGTGCAAAAATGAATGGTCTTGGCTGTAATTTGAACTCAGCATGCAGCTTTCACTTTTTGTACCAATAACTGCTACACTATATACATGCCAGTTGTTGGTGACTAAATCTGTAAAAATAAAAATTTTCGGAAACAAACCAGTATGGATTAGTTTGCTTTGGCTTACAACATATCAACCTCAATGGGTTATTTAATGCTGACAAGATTTTTATTGCTGGTAATATATTTCCAAAATTTTCTGGTAATCATTTCTTTCTTCAAAATTCATTGCTGGTAATAATTTTTTACAAAAATGTATTGCTGGTATTAAAACCTATTTTTACACTTTCATATTGCTTTGACCTCAGTTTGGGGGTGAACTATTCGCTTATAGCTGGGACCCTAATACGTGCGACCACCCCAGGTTAGCATGGACCTGATAACACTAACAATTAAGTGGTGGTTCCCTGCTCCTCAGAACCTCCTGACCTTGCTGTTGGACGTAGTTTTTTGTCTTGTCCAGGACATGTATGTAGTTTAACATCTTACCCAGGACACCAGTATGAATTAGAAAGGAATTACACGATTTACATTATTTGGACTATTGTCCTCATCTTTGTCGCCATATTTATTACAGAGTTTCAGCTGTTGTATGCTCCGGCCTTCTTCAGGTGGTTGGAATGTCAAACTGAACTCATTATTAAGGAATCAGCCACAAAAATCTCCTGAGCTGACCAAGCATAGAAATGAATACAATATGGGAACCAGTAATAAGGAGTGCAGAGAAAAGCAATAATAACAGCAAAAATTGCAATATGAGCACTGGTAAAAACATGCGCTGAAGACATTAGGTTTATAATACCCAGAAATTTATAAACAGATGTTCTCAAGGACACATGGCACAGTGGATAAAGGCATTGATAGGTCCCAGAGAGTGTGAATTCAATACCTGGTTAAGGCAGTGGAGAACTTGGAGACTGATAACTGACATCCATTAAACGTGGAACTAGAGCGAAATAAAGGGTTCAGTACGACATTCCAACCACCTGAAGAAGGCCGGAGTGTACAACGGCTGAAACGTTGTAATAAATATGGGGACAAAGATGAGGACAATAGTCCGAATAATGTAAATAGTGTACATAATTAGTGTACATAATACCTCATCTCAGAAATATAGAGAGATACTGAAGATGGCCGGAGCATACTACGGCCAAAATGTTGTAATACATATAGCAACAAAGAATGGGACAATAGTTCGAATAATGTAAATAGTGTACATAATACCTCATCTCAGAAATATAGACAGATACTGTAGAAAGGAATTATATTAAGAACAGGGTAGATAAAACAAAATCATCATAAATTTTCATATTATTTTATATCATGGAAAAAGCAGGTATGCAAGTTCTTAGTAGAAGTGTGGAATAAATTCCAATCTTTCACTCATAATATTTAAAAAATAGTGTCCTCCTTTCTTTTAATAATTCTGTCTTAGATTCTGATTATTGAGGCAAAGCTGTGTTTTCCAACATTTACACCCAAATTTTTCTGGGCTTTTTTTTCTTTCTTTTTTACTCTACAGCAACATTTCTTTTGTCTACAAACATAAATTTTTCTTTGCTTTCTTCTTCCCATCCTTGTTGCTGGGGGTTGGGGCCATGGACAAATGTTACAATTCTGAACTTAACTTTTCCCTAAACTGGTTGTCCACCATGGCTAGAGAGGCTAATATGTCCTGATATTTAACCCATAGTTGGGGGTGAGAAGAGATGGTTGCATATCTTTCCCAAAGGTATTTGCACATAAGTGAATATAATGAACTCAACTGGAATTTGAACTCTGCTCTCTAATTTCTCATTCTGTGTTGCTATCTATTTCACCATATGCATATCTTATTCTAGAATTATCATTACACTCGTGGACATCAAATCCTCTTTCCGCCATTACTCAGAAATTGGCTACTAAGCTGCATCTAATCTGCCCTAATCATAAGGATGAAGCCATTGGCCACTTGAAGGGTTGTCAACTTTACTAAGAGTTCTATCTACCCCAGTTTCAAAATCAGATTGATCCTTCTCCTAGACAGGATGCCAACCAAGGCTAACAAGCTCTGTCTACCTGGGAGATTTTTCTAAGACACTCGCTAGCACACTCTAACAGCTTACACTTCCTTTTTGCGTCTTAGCTACAATTGATTTTTTCTTGTTTGTATGTCCAGGTTGTTTCACATTTTCACTTTTATAATTTAATATTTTCAATTAAGCAGCAATATTTTTAATGTTTGACATACACATTATTGAAAAAATATTCATGGTTTTATTTCATAATTTTCAGCAACTTCATTATTCAATCCTTCCAAAATATTTTATCTTTCTCAGCAAAAAAAAAAAAAAAAATAGTCCAGCCTTCCAGGGAATCAAAATGCTTTTCATGAAGAGAACTGGAAAAAAATATTTTACAGAGATGATATGACAGCTTTCACAAAACAATCAATGATAAAACAGTGTAGGTAGATGAACTGTTATAGGTGCAGAAGAATAATTTGTGAGCTAAGTTCAAATTCCAGGTTAGTCTTTCACAAAAGGTATGAATCCATCTTTCATCCACCAGCAGCTGTGGGTTAAATAGGAGGCACTCAGCATTGGGGGTGGCAATGGTGAATATTGCTGCCACATTTGGTCAGATGCTCCTGCTATATATTTAGAGATTCTTGATAAAATCCAAAAAAGAATCTGCAATGTTATTGATCCTGACCTGGCATCTCAGATTCAGTCCCTTTCCCACCATCATAATGTCGCTTCTCTCTGCCTTTTCTATAATTATTTTCATGCTAATTGTTCTAATGAACTTTCCTCTTTGGTACCTAGACTTTATGAATTTATGTGCAGTATTAGATTGTGTAACAGAGAAGACTCAGAGTTGGTTGTATGTTGTGCTGTAAGCACCAGGATTTGTAGCCCCTTCCACAATAGGCTGTTAAGAGAAGACCTTCTACTAAGAGAGTAGGTGGCACTATTTGTATATGAATGATACTGAAAAGGTATTAGCCAATAGTCAGCATGAGTCTGGGAGTGGGAGAGTTATATAACACCAGTTTTTTTTTCTCACTCGAGAGAGGCACTTAATGTATAGATATATGAAAACCAGACAAGATGAGCACAGATTGGCAGCATTGCCTTGTTTGGGGAAAAATGATTAAAAAAATAAATAAATAAAAAGTCTAAGAAAAGAAAAACTCTAAATCCTAAACCACAGAGAAGGTAAGGGGACATAACTCCCTTATCTTTCTCAAAACTTCATAGGAAATGATGATAAAGGAAAATCCATGATAAGTAATGATTAGCATTGTTCTGAAGGTACATGGTATTTAAAAATAATAAAAATATTAAAACTTAATGCTACTTATGCCATTTAAAGACTTAACATACATTTTTAATACTACAAATATTTTGTGAAAGAAGAACTTTATGATAATGGGAATGGAGGAAGTAATCCTTTACAAGAAGTAAAATCAGAGCTTTATCTCATCAATTAGAGGGATTTGGGGAGTGTAAATGAGGGACAGAGAGAGAGAGGGAGGGTAGTGTGAATGACAGAGAGAAGCAAGTGGGAAGAGAGAGAAGCAAGTGGGAAGAGAGAGAAGCAAGTGGGAAGAGAGAGAAGCAAGTGGGAAGAGAGAGAAGCAAGGGGAAGAGAGAAAGTGGGGAAGAGAGAGAAGCAGGGAAGAGAGAGAAGCAAGGGGAAGAGAGAGAAGCAAGCAAGAGGGAAGAGAGAGAAGCAAGTGGGAAGAGAGAGAAGCAAGTGGAAGAGAGAGAAGCAAGGGGAAGAGAGAAGGGGGACGAGGAAGAGAGAGAGAGGGGGGACGAGGAAGAGAGAGAGAGAGGGGGACGAGGAATAGAGAGAGAGGGGGGGACGAGGAAGAGAGAGGGGGAGTTGCTAACTGAATGATTTTGCAAAAATGTCCAAAATGGAAATTTTTCTCTTATTGTTTAGTCAATGTAAATCCATTACAACTGATTTTTTTCTTTATCTTCCCAAAAAATATCTGAAGTTCATCAATTGCTAACCTATTTTTACAATATTGGCATTTTTGGTTCATTTTAGACATTCTTCTGAATATTTTTTAAATTGATTAAAAACTACCGACCCATTCACATGCACAGATCATAATGCTTCTTTGACCTTGGGGAAATGGGATGTAAATTTTTTATTGCATAATTTCCTGCCAGTATTTCAAAACATTATGTGTGACTGATTTTTACATATAACAACACTTTTCTATCATTAATGTTTGTCTTAATTCTTGACCCCTGAAAATTCCTTTTTTTTCTAATTGTCAATAAATTTCTGTAGTAAACGATTAACATTGTATTTCCATTATACATTATCTTCTGGCCACTGACAATCCCTTTCTTCCTGATTTTCAAAAATTTCTATAACAAAATCATCAGCAATGCATTTACATTATGTGCGACTCTCTCTGCATTTATTCCTGCCCACTGACAATTCCTTTCTTCTAGATTATCAATGCAACACATACAGATTGATTACTGAAATTTGCTAAAAGAAAATTTGGTGATTATTTATAAAATGTTTCACTAGTGCCAAAAAACAATATTTATTTCACTAATGCAGAAAATAACTAAAGTGAAGTAGGGATGTTGTCAAGTAATAGTAAAGTCAGTGGGTAGAAATAAAGCATGAAACTTTGCTGTCATAAACTAGTTTCAAATGCAGGTTGCACTAAAATATAACCGTGATCGTTACTCATTTCTCCTCACATTTATTGCTGCAATCATTTGTGAGAATGAAATTTCTTTTTAATGCAGAAAAGTACTAAAATTAAGGCAGAAAGTGGAGAAGTAATGGTAAAGTCTGTGGGTAGTAAGAAAATCTATAACCTTGCATTCAGAGTATTGTTCTTGGGAAAATGCCTTAATTAAATTTTCTTTACCCTACTATAGGTTAAATAGAAGAGTAAGCTGGGTTCTCTAGCCTTGCATGGCAGCCAGTCTAGACAAGAACAATTCTGAATTAAAAACTATGGGAAGATAATAGAAAATTCACAGATAAGAAAAAAAATGAATCAAAGGGAAAGCCATGCAGGTTTTAGAAAATATATATATATATATATATATATATATATATACTCACACACACATATATATATATATATATATACATACACAACATATATATATATATATATATATATATATATATATATATATATATATATATAGAGAGAGAGAGAGAGAGAGAGAAAAAGATTCCGATATGCATTGAAATTTGTATCTATCAATGTTTATTTCATCAATATATTTCTTTACATTTTAGTCCTTGGCTGTTTATCAATGTCTCTTGAAAAGTGTGTTTTTATATATATATATATATATATTTTTTTTTTTTTCACACACATGTTCAGATAAGAAAAAAAAATGAATCAATGGAAAGCCATGCAGGTTTTAGAATTATATATATATATATATTACAGAAATAAAAGTGTGAAACATAATATTACTAGACATTTTAAAAGGGAAACAACCGGTTTCACTCCCACTCTTCAGGCCTCCACAGGAGATTTAACTTAAATTAAAACACTAGAAAATGTGCAATGAGAAGGAAAAGGTGGGGGACAAAAAAAATGAACACAAGGAGCTAGAGACAAATAACAGCGAGCCCCAACAAACATTCATGCTGTTTACACAGGGAAGGCTTACAGGACCTGATATAAAGTGCCTCCAGCACCTTCAGGTGAAATAACGAGTGCGACCAAGACAAAACAGTGAACCAATCAGCACTGAAATTAGCAGCATACCCTCCGTTTTTTAAGAGGTGCTCACATATGGTGGAACCATAAGTATTATTTGGGACACATCCATTCAAAGACAAGGTGTGATTCCTGATCTTAGTGGGAATATGTTGTTTAATTCTCATGTCTAGGCATTGAGTAGTTCTCACTATGTAGTCAGCACTGCAACTACAATTGTATTTGTAAACAATAGAATTAATTTGATGTGGAGGGAGAACATCCTTCCACCCAGAACGAAACATAGGCCGGGTTTGAAAAACTATACGAACCTACCTCAGCCGAGAAAAAACAATGAGGAACATTCGCTGAACTCTGCCTAATTATACTTTCACACTTGGATCCAATCCAGGGCAATATAAGATAAACAGGGCACTTTTTAACAGTACAAAGTTTGACCTTTCTAAACTCCTCAATCTTGTTCCGGATGACCGAATCAACAGTATCGGGGGATACCCTAAACCACATAGGGTTTCCTTAACAAAATTGATTTCATCATCCAAGAAAGACTCTGAACATATCATTAATGCCCTGTGAACTAGGGTTCTAATTATGTTTATCTTACATTTTCTAGAACAAAAAGCAATTCACAGATAAGAAAAAAAAGGAATCAATGGAAAGCCACACAGGTTTTAGAATTATTATATATATATATATATATATATATATATATATATATATATATAATTTTAAATGTTGAAAATTTCACTCCAGATTTATAATTCAGGTATACCATTATCCCTTCCTATGGGATGTAGCAAACAATTTAATCATTTGTTAATATAAAGACTCAAATTAAATTTAATCTTTTTTTTTTTACAACCATGTTCACCCTGTACAAAGCCTGAGAGCCACTTAAGATAGTTACAGAGTAAGAGACAGTGTATGCGGATATATGGGGAAGATAACAGGCTGTGATTATAATAATAGGGGTTTAGTTTGGTTTGTTTTATGGCATATCAACCTCAATGGGTTATTTAATGCTGACAAGATTTTTTTGGTGGTAATATTTTTTTTCTTACAAAAATGTACTTCTGGTAATATTTTTTTTCTCCAAAAATGTAATGCTGGTAATATTTTTTTTCATCAAAAGAAAAGTATTGCTAGCTGTACATGCTGGCAATACTTCTCTTTCTAAAATGTATTGCTGGTAATAATTTTTTACAAAAATATATTGCTATTTCTATTTTTACACTTTCATAGTGTTTTGACTCCAGTTTAGAGGTTAACTATTTGCCCATAGCTGGGACCCTAACAGATGCTACCACCCCGTGTTAGGGTGGATCTGGGAACACCAGCAATTTAGAGGTGGTTCCATGCTCCTCAAAACCTCCTGATCAAAGGCCTTGCTGTTGGACATAGTTTATTTTCTTACCCAAGATGCGGATGTAGTTTATTGTCTTACCCAGGATGCAGTGATCAGGGAAGCATCATCTTGGGAGGTGGTTTCAAAAAGTAGTGGTTTGTTTGAAGAAGCTGCTCAAGTGGAACTTACATCTTACTAATGGAATACAAAGTGAATGAGAGTAATTCAATACAAGAACTAAGGCATATAGTTCATCTAAGCTCCTTCTATGGAAATAGTGATAAAGCAGTGAGAGGTTTCTGATGTTTGATGTTGTGAGAGCTTGCAAGGTGCAAAATAATTCATCACCAATAAGGATGCAGAGATGCTTTTGGACTATCAAGACTAGAAAGTGGAAACTGGGCGGCTACTACTCTAATATAGCAGCAGTTCTTTAAACAAGGTCCAAAAGAAAAAAGGAGACATAGTGATTGAAGAAATCAGGAATTTTGAGAAAGAGCAGCAAACAGCTATTGCTCTTTCTCAGTCCAAACAATGAGCTTGGACTACATGGAGTGATATTGATCCAATCATGGAATACCTTGATTGCAATAGAGCCATTGGCAATATCATCCCTCCTGTGATATATCTATGATCTCCTACCAAATGCAACCAACCTTAAGCTGTGGGGGTACACTGACATGATTGTATGCACATTATATCAAAGTGATGTCACTTGCTCTCTGCATGCTGACAATCATTGCAGATGTACATGTGGCATCATAACACAGTGCTGGAAGTGGTCATGGATTTAGTCAGTACACTGTAAGCAGCCAACAAACAGCCTGTAACAGCCAGAGAACCCTAAGATTCATTTTCACAAGTATGGTGAACATCATGGGTGGAAGACCCAAAAAACTCCCAACATGACACTGCTGAGTGGATCCCATGATTGGAGGGTGCTGGTTGATCTTACAACACCTCTGCAATTTCCAGTACACATCATCCAGACAGATGCACACCCTAACATTGTAGCATGGTCTGATTTAAAGAAGTGTGCCCCCCTATTAGGAATAATGGTTCCATGGTTGAAGAACATGGACGAGGTGAATGGGCAAAAGAAAAACCATTACAAATCACTGCAATCTGATTGCATTAAAAAGGGGTGGACATGCTATGTGCTACCTATTGAGGTTAGGTGCCATGGATTCCTTGGACAGTCAATCGTTTCCTTCCTTCTGAAGGTGGGCATCAATGGCCGGAACCTGAAGCATGCTTCATATCATTTCCAGACCACAACTCAACAGGCATCAAGTTGGAACTGGTCAAGATCCAAAATAAGTAAAGTTAATTAAAACCATGCTCGCAACAGTGCTACTTTCAATGTGAAACACATCTTTTCATCTTTCATTCTACATCCTTGATAATGGTTGCTATAAGTGTGTTGTCTTATTTAACAATCAAAAGCAAATGCTTTTAACACAACGTTGAAAATTTTACTAGCAGTTGCATGAAAATCTCAGAGAGTGACACATCTACACAAAAACAATACTCTGTTCAGTGGCAAAAGCTGTTAGTGGCACCAGAGGTGACAGTATTGCCTTAGCCACCAAAACTGTGTTACCTCCCCTTGTTGGCAGTTGATGAGGCTATCACAAATGCTTTCATAAATAAATAACAACTAGCCCTCATAAAAGGTAGAGGATAGGAGGAGGAGGAATCAGATACTTACTGGAGTGAAATAGTGAATTGACCATTTTTCCTTTATTGATGAATCATATGTACAAGTTCTACTTGAGGTTTTCGTTGATGTAGAATTTTGAGTTCAATACCTGGCCACAACAGA